ATGCATTTGGTGTTAATTTGACAAATGAGGAAACATTCATCAGTCTCTCCCTCAACCCCTCTAAGTTTCTAAGGTTGGCCATTCTAGTCAGTCGTGTTGTATGGTTTTATCTCATTGCGTACATAACCATAGCCGAGTTCTGTCTAGATCTCTTCTCATAATAGAAACCGACGTTCGTAATTCAGCTAAGATTTTGTGCTTGATAGTACAATTCAACTTGATCGACTGAAATGCTCTATGTGTCTGGTTTCACAATCTTTGCAAATGATCTGGTCGACTAAATTATTCTACCGAATTGGATTAATAGGATTTTCAACCTACAAAATTTGCTTTCAATCCGGTTTGTAGGATTAAATTTCACTCCAATTCAGTGTTTTTCATAATTCTGCCTGACATTACTGAGATATTTTCTTAGTGTGATGACTCTTCAGGGGTTATGGGGTCTCACATCACTGTGTAACCATTATTATCAATACCGGCCTCACTGTTGCTAGTTACATCTTTATTACAGATACTAATGGATGGCTTGATAAAATGTAGGTGAGACAACAAAAACAACAGCTTTACACACCTCAAGCGAGTCAAGACTTTACTCATGTATTCGTCATGTACAACAGGGTTTGCAAACCGTTTAAACCTGCTTATGATAAACCCTACAGTAACAGTAGCTGACTGCTATCTATGGTTATACAAAAACAAATATAACCCACTGTTTCATGTCAGGGAACATTAGTAGGCTGAGATTCTATATCGATTGAGACATTTATGGGACGAATTGGTAGGGAATCTATTACTGGTTTAAGGGTTTCTGTCATTCACTCAGCAAGTTCATGGTCTGGTGAGTTTGATGTGTCAAGGGTGCGTTTTAAGCGAATCCCATATTTGTGGATTTTTGACGGACCATATGAACCTGGTTTATGTGTCCCAGACGATTTGAGGAGTCTGTAGACTGTTTGATTTATATACCAGTGCAATTATAATTCTGTGAGCGAACTATTAATTTGCTTTACAATGATTAACAGATTTGGTTGGTGATTTACAGATCAACAGATTGTCCACAGAGTTGTTCATCTTAAATTTTGCTTTGTTATTAAGTGTTTGATTCACTTATTTTTATCAGCCAGATTTATGCATAATGACAACGCCTTCTCCTGTGTCAGACAGGTTTCACAATAACAACATCACTGTTCTCTTTCAGTTGGTTTAGTGCAGTGTAATGTTCTGATGTCAGTCCATGGTGAATACCACGGTTGTTATCAGTTTAACTTTCTGAGGTTGTTGGCGTTTAGCAGACTTGTATTGATACTGGGTGATGATTGAAGGTGAAACGAAAATCTGGACTGAGATAGGATTCAAATGAGCACCCTCTGAGAACTCCTCCGGGTGACCTACAAAACCCACCCAACTGCTGTACACTATGTTGGTTGTTGTTCTAGGGGAAGCACTAAATGTTATCACCTCAAAATATTTGTCTTATTTGCATATGTCACAAACACTCAACATTCTAATTACTGAACAATAGGATATAGCTGAATCATTGAGCAGCTATTGTTAAAGCTGAAATGAAGACTGGGAGGGAGTTGCTTAATTATCCACTAGACAATTCAAATATCCTAGGAGGGCATGGAGTTCGACTAGGTGAGTGCCATTTATGGGTATGAAACACGATGATTGAGTGCCCGTTTGACGGATATGAAGAGGGTGAAGAAGGAAACAACTGTCGTAATGGAAGCAACCTAACTAGATTAATCAGTTGTAATGAAGTCGCGAAATGAGAGCGGACAAAAATGTATGAAAGTTAGGGCCGTCGTATATAAGCGACTGAACACATTTCTTATGAACGCAGAGATCAGGCTTGAACCTATGAACTGCCAGTCATTCTGACATGAAATAAAACTTCGAAAGCGTACTGCATTCTAACTGTTCCCTATGACTCTGCAGATATCTCTGAAGGAGGACTCTGGTGGAGCTATATGTTCAGAGTTGACCAAATGTTCGAGAACTTAATTTTTAATTGGTTTGAATTCTCTCCTCAACAACCACGGGAAAAGGTGATAGGATACGTGTTTGGAAAATGGATGCTATCTGAGGCCCAGATGAAGTGAATCACTGTGTTATGAAATATATCTGATAACTCCCACCTACAGATCGATAAAATTTATCAATATTAGAAAATTAGATAGTTTGTTGAAGCAGGGCATAATAGAAGTCTACACAGTTTCGATGAAGTTCATCGAATAAAGCTTTAACATTCCCTTCTTGTGGTTGAATGGCTTTGATGATGAATGTCAACAAACGCTTCATCAAAAGATATGCATGCGAGTTCAAGTTCTATTTCTTTGAACTCATATCTTCAGCATACTGCACCTTAGGGACTTAAACGATTGATTATCCTCACCCAATTCCAAATAATGTCAATTACTCGGAGACGTTTTCTTCTCCCTTTCACTTCTATGTTAGGTAAATCAGTTTATAGTGTACTTGACGATGAAAAAGCTACTCAAAAAGAGACCATGTTGATTGGTCCAGTGGAATCAGGTTTACTGGTGTATTCAGATTTTCTGAACTACAAATCTGGTACCTACAGATATGTCACAAGAAGTTTATTAGGTGAATAATCTGTTCGCTACACAGAATGGAGTGTGGAGATAAATACTCCCCATTGGATTGCTGTCAACTCATCGAATGAGGATTGGGGTGATAAGAGATTTTATAGAATATTACGTGGAAATGATGAATGTGAAACTGAGTTTCAGGTGGATGCAGAAACAGCATGCTCCTCAAATGGAATGCATGCAGTATGCGTTTTCAAATGAATTTCAAGTGAATATATTTTGCATATGATGGTCTTCTTGTATCTTTTGACGACAAAGGATATCGTGCAGGAGGAACAGGTTGTAGGTATTCTAAAATACATGCTGTTTGGTCAGTGACGTTCATCACTGAGACCTATGTATGTATTCAAACTACCTCTTCCATCCGAAAAAGAAGCACTCTCAGATGTTTTCATAAGATGGATGGGTGGGCTACATTCATCCATTATGCGTTAACTGGTGAATAATCAAGCCGAATTTATGCATCGTAAGGCTTGATTGTATAAGCAGTGTACACTTTTAAATCTCCTAACTCACTACTTACCCACGAAACTAATGAAAATTGCTAACTGAAAGTCGAATCACAGCTCATCTAGTAGCCTAAGCTGTTCGTTCCGTCCCCTTGAAATCCCGTTGAAGTCTTAGACTAGATTTGCTGGAATACGCACACAAATATAACAAATATATGAGGTTTCAAATCATCACACTCACACTCACACGCAATCACACACACACATACATACACATTGGCGGAATCAATAATTTTAGATGCATTTATGTAGATTCCGAGTACTCTTGACAGTCAGCGTGTCTCTCGTTTTGATAATCTTATGTCTTCAGTATTTTGTCCTTGTATAAGTAAAATTTAACTTAATGACTTTTAGGCTAAAGACCGTGTTGCTTTCTCCATCAGCTGCACAGTGATTATATGTTGATAAAAATAGTTGTAGAGTTAGCGAGAAGCAGATTTACTTCAGTAGAGCTCAGTAGAACCAGTAACCTCAGCCAGTGTACACGAGATATAACACGTTTGAGCTTCTGAGAATAAATAGTGATGCTATGAAAGGAAGTGGTTTAGATGTGAGACAAGTTGTGGAGATACACCTCCATGTACATCGATATATTTGTTTAAACACCGTAGCGATATTCCCACAGAAAGTTTGTGATTCCTTACACACATTCTGCTTGAGTGATACATTAATTGATATCAACAAGTTCACTAAAGAGTATGCCCACTTTTCTGCTCCATGTAATCTTCACAATCGAATTTTCTAATTTTTCTGTTCTGCATGAATACCGATGTATTCAACGACCAGAATAACAACATTAATGATTTTACACTGTTGATTATCCAATGACAACACATCTATAAACTCTCATTGAACAAGTTCGCGATTACAACAGACACCTCTGAATGCTTCATGCATAGACTGAGAGGAGAAAACTCAGTTTCCTGAAACTGTTTACCCATTTGTCACTCACATGCTACCTCTACAGCCATATTTTCTGAGAATATATCCAGTATTGTTAACCAGAAACTGCTAATGTGATTGTGACACACAAATTGGTGAGTAATTGGTGAGTAATTTAATGGAATGTACACAGCACTAGACACCACTCTGGTTCTCCGACATCCACTGCACAATATGGTGAAGCAAAGCTAGACGACGTCCCAACATCGACTAATGAATTCATTTCTCGTCATAAACATGTGACTTGTATTCATTCAGAAAAGCATCTCGAATTTAGTATATTCGAAAAATAGCTATGAAATTATGTCAGTTAAATGGATGGAAACAAATAAACTGATATGTGTAGGAAGGAGATTTCATAACCGATTTGCAAACCTCGATGGTGCATCGAAATCCTAGGATTATAGAATAATTGTTCAGACCTATCTGAAGTTTACCAAGATATGCGTGGATAAAATCTACTTCAGAACTATTTGGAAAAAGGTAGGCGGGTAGTTATTTCATTGCACTTCACACTGGATTTTTGAATTCAGAATTCAACAGTTTAGAGAAGATGGATACATGTGTCAAATGCCGAAATATCTGTGCAACATTAAGTAGAACTGTGTAAAAAGTTCATTTGATCTTTGAACAAAAAGCACTTAAAAATCTTCATTCAAAAGGTAATTGAATAAACTATGAAACGTTTTGAAAATACCCACATTCTAGAGGGTTGAAAAACATGTTTGTGTTTTCGATACAAGTATGTTATTGGTAACAACGAATAATGTGTAAATAATTAATTAAATAATTTGTGAGTAAAAAATACTGTCAAAAGAACTCAGTAATCGAAGTCACCATATCGCCAGTCAAAGTTCAACTCATAAAATACATATAAGCGTTGAATGCATAGGACACTTCGTCTCACGACTGTTGGTTCATCATCGACTGTGGAATGTTGAAGACAATGCTGTGTACAGTCTTCATCTTCTCCCTCTGCTTCTTCTCCACCATCACCTCTGCCCATATTCTCAAGGATGGTGTGAAGCCGGAACCTCTCTCAGATGAAATGATTTCCTACATCAATCAACATGTAAGTCAATAACCAAACTGTTTGTCATGCCATTCTTTTGCTGCATGTCTACCTGACACACAAAGCAAATCAGTCATCTCAGGTTTACGTGTACGAATGAGTTATTTCGAGTATGTTAGACTAGTGTAACGGTATGCATTCGATGCGATCAACGTCAGCTAGTAGACAATCGTAGAAATGAAGATCAGCTGTAGGCGGTATCTGGAAGGGTGAAAATACCTGCCATAGGCAGTCTTCCAATTTCCCCTCATGATTTGTTTGAGATAGTGCGTAAAACGATTGTATGGAGTTACTGATAAAGTCGTTGGGTAGGTCTGAGATTGGAAAAGTCGGGAGACAGTGGCTCAAAAACAGGTGAGAAATATCAGGTCTAGCCGACCATGGTGACGAGTGGGCTGGATGCATTGTGAGATTCTGCTTTCCCATTTAATTATGAGTTAAGATATTTTACTCCCGTAAACACTCATCGTTTTCTTTTCCTTACACATCAGCCTAATGCTGGATGGAAAGCAGAGAGAAATTATCGTTTCAACTCGATAGACGATGCTCGTGTCCAACTTGGTGCCAAAAAGGAGGATCCTGAGATGAGGCGCAAAAGACGTCCGACAGTGGATCACAAAAATGTCAACGTGGAAATCCCATCTAGTTTCGACTCACGAAAGAAATGGCCTCAGTGCAAATCGATATCCACTATTCGTGACCAGTCACGGTGTGGATCATGTTGGGTATGTTTTTATATTTTCAGATGACATAGTACAAACAATTTCCACTCGAAGAACGCATATTATTTTTTGCCTCGTGTGTGCATCACATCTGACATCCGTGTGTAGAACTGACAAGCTAGGTGAAGGAAATGCGTTGAATTTACCTAGCAGCTGATAAATTTGCCATTATTGAATAATAATCGGTTTTGACTACATGCAACATTTTCACTATCTCGCTATGGGAACTAATTTCTGTGCTCACAAGTAGCTCTGTATTTTGTGAAATTTCCCTTTCATCTCCATAGTATACACAGAATGGTTTACTTTTCAGGCGTTCGGTGCTGTCGAAGCAATGAGTGATCGCATCTGCATCCAGTCGAAGGGAAAGATATCTGTCGAACTGAGTGCTGTTGACCTGCTCAGTTGTTGTTCAGAATGTGGCTTTGGCTGTCAAGGTGGATTCCCCGGAACAGCATGGGATTACTGGGTGGAAGAGGGCATTGTCAGTGGCAGCTCGAAAGAGAATCACACAGGATGTCAACCATACCCATTCCCCAAATGTGAGCATCACACGAAAGGGAAGTATCCTCCGTGTGGCAAGAAGATCTACAAGACGCCGAAATGCCAACAAAAGTGTCAGAGCAGCTACAAAACATCTTACGAGGGAGACAAACACTTCGGTAAGTAGGAGTGAAGTAGGCGATGGAGTTCATTTGCTGTATACTTTTCTGTCAGTGCTGAGTTGACTAACAGCTTGTCCTGTCCTATTCACCAGTTTCTTTGAGAATGCAGAGAACTGAGAATTTTGACAATTTATGCATATTTTGGTGTGTGCTTGAGAGCAGAATGACTTCAGTGAGTGTCATCTGTAGATGTGGTTACTAAAAGTTATTTTTATTTTTATTTGGAGTACATCTGACAATTTCGACAGAAAAGCGCACGGCATATCTTAGTTTTATATTCACATTCTGAAGAACTATACCTTCTCGAAACAGACTACGTGGACATTACGAAACCTGTTTAGTGCCAAGCCTTGCAACCTAAAGTCACATATATGAAAATAGTGTTATTATTTCATGTGATGTGCATGTTGAAAGGCGCCACATTTTTGCCGACGACTAGTCAGCATTTTCGCATTTTGATAGTATGTGAATGTTCAACTGATCAACTCCACTGTTTCAACTGAACTCATGAGACAGAAAAATCATCATGTCCATGAATTCCATGAAATAGCTAGCGTATAGAATATTTTTCATTCTGTAAGCACATTGAATATCTAGTGTTTTCTGTAGTGAGAAACTGAACTAGTTGGAGAAACTGATAATCTATTTGTCTATTTATACCGGGAAATTGAATATTCTCCGAATCACTTCCAAATTTAATACACCTGGTTCCTAAAATATGTTTTGTTTTCGCTCCTACAAACTGCAAACCCCTGAAGGATGTTTTCCTCTTCTTCCATTCATTGAAATAATAGGTGGATCATCCTACAACGTAATCAACGATGAAAAAGCCATTCAAAAGGAAATCATGTTGAATGGTCCAGTGGAAGCAGCTTTCACGGTTTATTCGGATTTTCTGAACTACAAATCTGGAATCTACAAACATACAACTATGGATGTGTTGGGTGGACACGCTATTCGCATTCTCGGATGGGGAGTAGAGAAAGGGACTCCTTATTGGTTGATTGCCAATTCATGGAATGAAGATTGGGGTGAGAAGGGATACTTCAGAATACTACGAGGGGAAGATGAATGTGGAATTGAGTCTGAGGTGACAGGCGGAATGGCGCATATCTAACTCATATTCAACCATGTTCAATAACACAGATATAATATGTATATTGGAAAGTATTCAAAGTGAATGTTTTCTTTGTATCAGGTAATAGTTTTAGAGAGAAGATCCTTAATCTGTGGTTGTGATAAATAACGCATAGAAATAAATTATAATCTACCGCCTGAGGTGTAAACCAGGTCTTTTTACTGATTAGTTAAAACAAATGCCAAATCTCACTACGTTTCATCCACTCATTGAAGACATAAAAAATCAGCGATTACCTTGATGCTATGTGATATAAAATGCAACGTTCCAATAACTCACACTTTACGATAAATATTTGAAAACGGAATATACGATCGTTATTCAGTCCAGGTACTTATCAAAACACTGCATTTCATTTTGCCTCAGGGAACACGATGCTAGTGATCTGGAAGATCAGTATCTCATTAAACTTCGAACAGTACATTCGAAAACTCTGACTTCATTCTGTTCATCCCAGTGGTAAGAACAGATAGGCTGTAAACACGCTTCATTCCCCTTCGACCACACTTCACACAACAAGGCTCGTGTGGAAATAATGGTCAACACACTGTATCTTGTGTTGACTGCCACCTTCCTGTGTAATATATGGCTGGTCACAGTGAAACGGTGTGTAGCGAAAACAGCATCCGTTGCGAGATATGTAGGTGACACATACATTATTCACGGAACAATGCACTGCAAACCGACCCTTGAGCAAAGCAAAGAAGAATAACGAGTTCCCAACAAACCACGAACAGTATGATAGATTCGAGTTGCTTGGAGTCTGTATCAGACGAAAAAGGGTTGTTTCATTTCGACAGTGTGGCCATTCGGAATTCCATAGACTAGCCATCATCTGTACTCAGAAAGTTTAAATCAAATCAAGTGAAGTGTGAGGAGAAAGTATTGATAGAGGATCAATGTGTTGCCTAGTCGATAAGACAGTTCGGAAATCACGATGTTGACAATTGTATGTGGTTTCTTTGAAGCTCACACTGACGAGATTACCCAGTTGTCAAGCACGAAGTATATTTTGCAACAGATGGCATAATTCGAACAGCAGATTATTTAATTTGACTGATCTTTGAAGATAGAGACAGTTGAATTGAAGGAAGTATTTGATCGACTAGCCTTTCCTAACTGCCTGAAATCGTAACTCTGTATGCAGTGCGTACATGTAATGCGGAGCAAACAATAGCATTGTCAACCATAATTCCAGCAATGTGAACCGTCATCAGTCTTGGTTCGGACAAATAAACAACAAGGCGATCTCTGTCATTATCGACACTGTTTATCATACGAAGATTGATATCCTCACTTGTGACTGCTATATTTACACACTGTCGCATTTTCGAGTTCATCTACTGAGCTACATACGTAACGTGAGCTTCATACCTTTGGTAAGAGCTTTCACCGTTTGGAAGTTGACATTCTGGAACCTGTTTAGACGGATATTGAAAAAGGGTACTGAGGAACGCGCCACACAAAATATTACAACAATATGATGAAGACATAGAGTGGGTAAAAATAAAGCACAATAAGAATAGAATGATTGGAAGGGCAGTTCAGTAAGGTACATTCGAAGCGAAACATGCATGAGTTTTCAGCAGCAGAAGATAGGAGCAAGCTACAGCATGATCGCCACTGGTTTCCATTCCGAGTCATATATGATAACGTCTCTAGCTACTGACTTGCATGGTCTACTGGACTCCACCCAAGAAGTCGTGATGCACACACAAACGCTGACTCGATACAACTATCATTCATCCCACGGCACCATGTCATACACTGACCACCCCTCCGCCTCTTCCACCCAGTCCCAGGGTTAGCAAACAGTGAAAGATATGGAAGCCGTTGAGACAACATGCGTAACACACTTGTAATCCACCAAAACCAGTGTTTCCGGATCACTTCAATTATGGAATGACGGTCACCACCGTGCCAAACACACCTCGTCGTACCTCAGGATTACATGCATCGTGTTGCCACCGGATACGAGCAATCCCCCGAAGACAATGACCATTGAACACATAGACTCGTGGCATTTCCTCAGCTCGGAGAGGCCTGGTTACACTGGAGTAGAGTGGGACTGCTCACGCCAAAGCGCTGTAAACCCAACGTTTTACGATCAGACTAACGTCTCGACGGCGGTAACTGTGGCCGAGGTTGGTGTATGCCACTCCGCCTTTTTATATGTGGCTGGAAATGTTACCACTCACCACTCACACCTCCATCAACACTCACTAAACTACCCAGACACATGAAATTGTTGACTGCTCCCAATGGCTCACAACCAAGGGTGAGCGCAAGCACAGGCTCCTGTCAATCTTGCAAGAGTACTGTGCAGTTGGATGATGTAAAGCACACACCATACTTAGGCACTCTTATCCCCAACTGATTAAGTGCGACTTGACCAGACTGTTTCTTATCTCACAGTACAACGATCTCGTCTGCATATTCAAGGTTCAATGACTGTTCTTTGGGTAGTAGACCTACACCACCATCACGCAGCTACTTCAGAGCTGTCGTAAGAGTGCCATCCATTGAAGAGCTAAAGAGGAATGGAGAAATCAAGCAATCCTGTCTAACTCCACTGCTGGTTTGGAACAATGGAGACAGGTGGTTGTATGTCCTCACTCTACCTAAGGTGTTATTTTATAAGGATTTCAAGACGTTAAGAAATTTCTCAGGCGTGCCCCTCTCCAACAGATAGTTCATGAATACAGCTCCGTCCAAGGGATCGAAGGCAGCTCTAATGTCAAGAAGCACAGCGAATGTCAGCCTACAATACGCGTGGTGATGTTCAAGAATCTGGTGGAGGGTGAACACATGATCAATGCATCCAAAACCTGAATGAAACCCAACCTGCTCCTCGTGAATCACTTGCTCACTTGTTTTGCAAACTCTGCGAAGTATGATAGAAGCCAATATTTTTGACGCCACTGTTAACAGACTAATACCTCGATGATTGGCATATGCATTACGCAGACCTTTTTTAAAGATAGGCACAACAATGGCTTCATTCCAGGGTGGTGGAACACTCTCAGTCTGCCTACCATACCCTCTCAAATAATCTAGTCAATCGCCTGACCAGAGTCATTTCTCCATCCTTAAAAGGAGTCGGAGGTAAGTTGTCTGGGCCGATGGCCTTGTGGCGTTTCAAAGCTTGGAGTTCCTTATGGACCTCCACTTCGATAGGCGGGTCAATGTTAATTGACCGTGAATCACGATACATAGAAGGGCTCCACACAGCGTTCCAGGAATCATTTTATGATCATTTATCGGCGTACCACCTACCTCAAAGACAGTCTCGCTAACACCTAGCTTCTTGCTGCCAGTGGCTCCGATCATCTGAAAGAGCTTCCGACTATTACCAGATGCAACTTCTACTTCCATTTCACTCGTGCGTTCTGACCACCAAACCCCACGGCCCCTGTGTAAGCTTCGTGAAATCTGTCGCGTAAAAGACTTACGCGAACCATTGTACTCACTTTCCACCAGAATGGTCCGACGAGTGTCAAGAAGTTTCTGGGAGCTCGCAGACATCCACTATTCATTATCGGGATGTTCTTCCATGCCACAAGCGGCTTTACTCGCCATTTAAATGGCGTCTTGCAAGTTCAACCAATCCTCGTCTACACTTTCTGAAGGATCAGTAGCCAGCTTTGAATCCAGCTGCAATGATAGGTGCAACTAATCTCCTTGAATCGACATTTCACGAGGACGATTTTGAGTACCACCAAAACGCAAGACGAGCTTCGCACACACTAAAGCATGATCACAGTCCAAACAAGTACTCCATATGTAGTTATAGTCCTGTATGCACTCATGCCAATGATAGCTGATTGCGGCATGATCTGTTTGAGTTCTGGCTTGAGTGGCAGACGGACGACGCCAAGTAACACAATGGTGATGGCTGTGCCGAAAGTTGGTGCTGGCTGTAAATAGGTTGTAATCTGTGCAAATCTGCAGAAAATGATCCCCATTATCCCACCTACGGCCAACTAATCCCCATTGGCCACCTAAACGACTCTCCTCTGAGTGCAGACGCCCAACCTGCTCATTCAAATTCCCAGCTAGCACTACAATGTCTGTCGAGCATACTAGGTTGATGAGGTCACTCAGTTGATGATAGAATTCATCCTTGGCTGCATCCGGACTACAATACGTCGGAGCATAAGCAGAGATGACGAAGAGACATCGTTTCTCTTAGCGATTACTTCTTATTCAATTTGAACCCTCTAGCCTAACAGTACATAGATGACTGTTGATGGTGATCCAGTCGCGTAGCGCAGCTTCCGCTTGATGATTTGGTGAGGCAGTGACACCAGTGAGGCCGGTTGCCGATGCCACAAGGTCCTCGGATAAGCATACATGCAACATACTTCACGAGCTGACAGATAGAGATCAAATTCGAAGAACTTCCCTGGGATCTTGTATGCGGATCTCTGAAGTACAGCATACATCAATGGCGAGGCTTTCCAGAGTCCTAGCTAAACCTGCCACTTATTCAATCTGCATTGAGGTGCGAGTTCTGAAGTCAGTACAAAGAATTCACCCAGATGTATCATGGTTGATCTACTCCTGCGTATTTTTGTGCTCCTGTTTCGAATTTCGCTTGCTGCTCGCTTTTGTTATTCACTTTTCTGGCTTACCTAATCAGTTCTGCATTCAAATGGAATCCTAGAAATTGCATTTGTCAGTGTGCACCTTGCCATCAAAACCTTATAACGAGCATACACACCCCAAGGTCACGACTGTGATGCGGCCCCACCTTCAAGGATATTGGAAGATTCGAACAATAACCGAATAATTCCTAATTTTGAACTAAGCCTGCTTCGACACACCTTTTATATGCCATAAATAACGGTATCTAATGCACAGCTTCACGCTGCACATTATAGTCATTTCTCATTACCAAAATGATCAAACCTGTAAAGTGGTTTGTATTCATGTAACCTATGTCGTATGAAATACACATATTATTATTATTATTATTA